TTCTAAGAATAGACCAAGCCTGCTGTCATTTGTGGTGGGTTAGAGTACGCTCGGGGTTCAATTTTAGTTGGAAAACAGCGCGACTGGGACGAGGACACACAGAGATGAAGAGGACACAAGACAAAGCGCTGACTAGCAACTGGTTCGTTATTACAACATAAGGAAGGATGACAATGAAATGAAAAACATTTTTCATTTCATTGTTAACATTGCCTACAACATCATGAAGAGCAACAGTTCGTGTGTGAGCCAACCTTCGGTGATTATGACTCCCAACGAGATGAAGTTTTTGGATTCAGGGTAACCCAAGCTCTTGAGGAAAGAAGAACACTAGTCAACAATCGGATGAAAAAGAAAAAAAAAGAAGAAAGGGGCATATTCCACGAGGCGTCAAGCAAGCGCGCGAGCATTTGACTCCATGTTTTTCATTTCATTGTCATCCTTCCTTATGTTGTAGTAACGAACCAGTTGCTAGTCAGCGCTTTGTCTTGTGTCCTCTTCATCTCTGTGTGTCCCCGTCCCAGTCGCGCTGTTTTCCAACATGAACTCTCACCAACTCGCCCAGTTATCGATCCTTTTCAATTCTAGGTTCTTCAGAGGGGCGTCTTGGCCGAGATTTTCGGGCCCCGTCCCCTTTTTGACCGTAAATTCTAGCTGGGGTCGAGCGGCACCGTCGGCAGCTATTGTTTTACACAAGCTAATGCATGGGACTCTTCGGGAAAAACTGTGAAAACTGCAATTTCCTAATAGGCTGTTTTGGAGGATGAGAATTTTATCCTGTTTTCTGGGCATGAGAGTTTATATTCTGGTCTCAAGTATCAAAAATGATAGAATACTAGTATATTTTATCAAATCCTTCGTGGTTGAGGGTCGAAGGCTGTGATTTTGTTTGGTGTAAACGGCGATGCGGTTCAGTAAGACAAGGGTTTCCGAGAGTCAATGTGGAGTCGCTCGTGATCTGGACATCATCAGAGGTTAGCAGGCGATAAGTTGGCCTTTACTGAGGACAGTAACGCGCAACGTGCTACTAAAGCACTGCGGCAATCATTGAGCTCGCGCTGAAGGCGGAGCTTCTAGTCTAAGGCGAAAAAAGTACACATTAGCGATCTTTGTTGCCAGTACTGCAAGAGAAGCTGACTTGCAAAGTGACCATCTTGCGCGTGTCACGCGCGCGGAGCGTATTTGCCGAAAAAATAACGAAAGGCAACACCTCCCGCGGCTCGCGCGCATTTAAGTGGTCAATTTTACATTATAATCTCCACCGTACCTAGAAAGCGTGACAAGCTGTCACGAGGACCGCCTCAAGAAACCGTCAAACGCCCACACCATATATAGCGAACTAGGTCCCGCTAAGTTAAAAGTTACGAATGCATTGCAGAAATGCAAAATTTGACGGGCGAGGTATCGCCCACCAAATTTAGCTCACGGTTGTCACGTGACATTATCAGTGAGCTGTGACCACGTTTCTTCATCAGCATACCGCCGTCACGTGATACCAACCATTTAACAATGTCACGCTATACTACACAAGGCACGTGACTTGACACCATGGCGTGACACTAAAAATCACGATGTCAAGATACTATGACATAACTCTACATTGTGTCACGTGACGTGACGTTATGACGCGACACCGTGACATCACGTGCCCCAACCACGTGACCATCGGACATATTGTACGTATGAAAGGGTTTAGAAAATCCCATAAACAAACACCCAGCGCAGCTCATAACACGCTGCTCATTTTGTGTCTTGAGTATGCCCAAAGGATTAAGATGAATTTTAATTAATTACATTATGGTCATATTTTATTAACTCGTTGAAGAACGGCAACTCAAAAATGTGTTCACACGTTCACTTAAAAAACACATCATTATTATAACTGCGCGGTAGAAGTCCGCGTAATAATTTTTCCTTTCGTGTGCGTGGCGTGTGCTGCTTGATATATTTTTTTTTTACCTTGATTTGAGAAATTAGATGTAATATCGTATCTTCCTTACAAAAAAATGCTTTCACGTCCTGGAGAAACGTTCATGCTCCACCGCAAAACCAATTCGTATTTCATTTATATTTTTTATCCAGGAGCCCCAGGTTCGAACCCCAGGTTCGAACCCCGGGGGTTTGGCAATTATGCGCTAGGAATGAGTGATGCACATCTATCATGCACCATTTATGGTTATATTAATTCAGTTACTTTCTTATTATGCGCGAGAAACAGCTTTTTACTGCTCTAAACAGCCCTGAATTCATTTACAAAGCCCTGCCTTTTGTTCTTTTAATGACCTGGGCGCTTTGTAGAATTAACGGATTGCGAAGAAAATAGTACCATGATGTAGCTGGAGAACTGGAGCTTATATAACCGTTGAGAGCAACTCGGAATACGGAGTAGTTAGTTTGTAAATAGAGTTTTAACTCAAATATTTCTCTGTAAATCACCGTACTCCCATACGTATAATGCATTTTTTTCCGATTGCCAGTTGGCTCTATTTATCTTAGACATACAGTCCTTAAATTTAGCACAATGAACAGAAAAGGTATCTATTAAAAAAGTGCGCTGAGAGCAATATAATGCACCGGTTAGAATTTCGTGAAATAAAATATATCTAGTTCGTCCCATTGAGTTACGGGCCGTCCCGCCACCGCTGCCGATAGATGGCGCAAGTAGTGTCGGCGCGCTCCTGTCCCAAAATCCTGGGTATGGGAACCGGAGACCAAGACAAAAAGCTACTACAGCAGCTTGACGGTGGTCCTGGCCTCCTTTACTGCAGGAGATTCGAACACAATTTCAGAAAACGAACAAAATAGGTTCATTGAGAGAAAGGACACTATTTTAAATCTACGGAACACAGATCGTACAAAAGGAAGAACAAAGGGAAATTAGTAAATTCATAGTAGTATACACTGGTACAGTGTTACGCATGCTTTAACCGCACTTAGGAAAACAACCCTAAAATAATGCTCGTACCTCTGCCACGTGATTGCATGAATGTCAACTCCTTTTAAAAATATTTCATTGAATAAAGTGGTTCATTGGTAATTTACTGTGTGGTTTTAGTATAATATATGTCGTGGTGAAGCACACCATTTTTTTTTCAGGGCGGAGTTGATATGAGGAAGGAGAAAGGGCAAAGTTACATAATTCCTCGGAAACTTTATTTTTAAACTGCGTAGACTTCTTGTACGCCACAAGTCGGAACCTGTAAATATTTGAAATTGGTTTTATATTAAACAGGGAGAACAAATGTTCAGTATGGTAACAGTATGAACAGCTTTCTTTTGTAAACTATGTAGTTTCCCTGTATTAGTTTTTGTTATATTTCCCCAAACTGGATGCCAATAATTAAAACTTTGAATTGGACGAGTTGGTTTATTGTGATCTAGTAGCCTAAAAGTGCAAAAAAAAAATACACAGACGAACAAGAGTCACATACAGCGCCAGTCCGTGTTGTTTGTGTCTCTTCTTCGACCGTGCTTTTTTGCGCTTCTTTTTAGTCTAGACAATGATATCAAAGCATTATGAAGTTCAAGCTTAACACAACGCGGTAACAATTATTTAAATTTGGTCAGCAACCCCACTGTTTACCACAGTTCAGACGAAAGGTAATCTACATGCTCATTCCAAGACATACTCTTTGTAAACCAAATGTCCGAAGGCTTAATAGTGTCGACAAACTCAATTTCTTCGTTGTTAAAAATCATGGGTTTGTGATCATAACGGAAGCATGTTGACTTTAGTGTATTGTGAACTTAAGGTGATTATCTTTTGTTAATTTTTAAACATGATCAAGAACACCATTACATTTAGTTACTAGAGTACTGATGTCTTTATCAGAGAAAAGATGCTAGTGTCATCAGCATATATAATAAACTCAATATGAAGATCATGATTTACATTTAAAATATCGTTGATATAAAGAATAAAAAGTAGGGGGCCTGAAATACTGCCTTGGGGCACACCATATTTTTTTTTAATATCTGGCCTAAAGATTAATATAGACACAAACTGAGTTTGATTCTGTAAGTAAAACTGTAAATAATTTAATGTTTTCCCATGAACACCATAGTATTCTCATTTTTCTATCGAGACATTGTGATTTATTGTGTCGAAAGCTTTAGAGAAATCTAAAAATATACCGATTGGTAATAGGTGATTATCTAGTGCTCTTAATATTATTTCTTTTTGTTTTCATAATGCTAACTTGGTGGAATAACTTTTACGGAAGCCAAATTGGGAATTAGTAATTAAAAGCTATTTCTCAAAATGAGAGATAATTCGATTTGAAACTAGTTTTCGAGTGGCTTAGAGAATACTGGAAGTATAGAAATAGGTCAAAAGTTGTTAATGCTATTTAAATCTCCACCTTTATGTAACACACTAACTTTGGCAATATGCATTTTGATAGGAAACTGACCGGACAAAAGTGTAAGATTGAATATATAAGTGAGGTATGATGGTGAGATATCTAAAACATACTTTGCTAGCTTTATCTGCATATTGTATGCATCAATAATTCTACTATTGTTTAGGCTCATGAATGTATTATAGACCTCGGAGACATCAGTGGGAAAAAGAAATACAGAATTAGGCAAGGTTGAGGGCATGCACTGAAGTGCATTATTCACACTAGTAGTAGAAACAGAGGATGTTGGGTGATTTACAAGATAGTTATTAAAAAGAATTCGCCATATTCGTTCCCGATATTTTACTACCGTCTATGTTAATTTCAACTGGTGTAGAAACGTGTGGCTTTAAGCAGTGCTTTAAGCCTTTGCCACATCTCGTTCGTGGGGGTCCTGAAAGTCTCGCTTTCTTTACCGTTCACATGTAATAAAAATTAAATATTATAATTAATAGGCCTATAAGGCTCTCCATTCGATTCCACCTGCGTAGAATAGGGCGCTAAAGTCGGCTCAAAGGTTTTCTGTAGTAAGCCGATAGGACTGCAGTATGACGCCTCGACATACTGTAGTAGACATCATTATTGTCTCGTTTTCCCCAGGACGCGGAAGAATATCCAGACTGTAAAGCGTATTGCAGGAATAATGACAATGAGTGGTCTTACGAAAATCTCTGGGATGGAATGGAATGTGGAGAAGGAAAGGTAAGCCCTTGAAGAATTGTTCGTTTCGTAAAACTAAAACATCATGACCTTAATGAGCGGAAAAGTACATGACAATTACTTTTATGCGCTGCCATGTAGGGAAGGCTGTCACGCAACGTGAGGCAAATCGTTACTGCGAAAAATACGCACCGACCTAAAAAAAAAAGGGGTAATGACGTGTTGGTCTCTGCCATATGGTCCATTAGATCATATTAATAGCGTTTGGTATAATTATCTTATTATTTAAGTTCGAGTAAGAATAACTTTTTATTGCGTGAATTTATAGGTATAGTTTCAATTAGAAACTTGCTGAGCATAATCGAAAACCACTTTATCAATTTATTTGAAAAATGTAGAAGGCTGGTACGGCATTTTACTGCTACCCCCCCCCCCCCCCTTCCCCAAATAAAAACAAACAAAAAGAACGTTTAATTCGGGCGCGTTTTTAAGTTCCGCCTTCCTCTATACTGCGTTTAAGCTTCGGTCCGAGCGCGGCCGATGTTATCGGCCGAAGGGCCAATCAGACAGCGAAAGAGGCACAAGGTCATGCCGTGCTCTCTGTAGTTGATAGGACCAGCCGGTATCCGCCTTCTCTCTGTGCGCGCTCCTCCGCCGGCTAGTCCTATCAAGCGCAGAGAGCACACCATGACGCTGCTTTTTTTGCGTTGTTTGATTGGCCCTTCGGCTCATAACATCGGCCGCGCTCGGACCGAAGCTGAAACGAAGTATAGGAACCCATCTATGAGCCAGCGGTTTCGACCAACACCACCTTGACAAGCAGGAGGCCTCCTTACCGTCATCACAGTCAAATCGATCGAGGCCTGAGATCGGGGCTCGTGTTCAATCAGCGCGTCGAAGGTCGGACTCGGGCCTAAAAGCCGAATTAGCGCCCTCCGACTCTGATGACGTTTCATGAAGGGAGAGGAGGCGATGCCGAGGCCTTGAATATTCTAGGTGGCATTGTTTTGACCCTGTGGCCGAGGCGTGCAACGCATGTACGCCACGCGGTTCTTTCCTGCTACGAGGAAGGCGAATTACGCTATCTAGGCGACTCAACCTGCTCAACCTTGCTCGATAGGAACCGAAACCTACTCGTTATTACCTCAAGAAAAACAAAAAAAAGTTTCGCGCAATGTTCATACGCCGCGCCAAGTAGATCTTACAAGATTTGATTGTCGGAAAAAGAAGCGATGCTTTTGGCGTTTCAAACGCGTACGTTTTGATAAGATAACATATATCTAATCTATCGGGTGATTCGAGGAGCGAGCAGGCTCTTTAAATCGACCGCAAAATTCGGTTTCTCAACCTATCGTGTTCCGATTCTGTACAGCGTTGGCCACAGCTAGGTGGTGCATTTTTTCTATAATATTCGGAAAGGGCGAGCTTACTTGAGGAAAAAAGTAAAATAAAAAAAAAAGGCTTAGCTCTTATGGAAACGCAGCGAAGCCACCGTTTTTCAAACCATAGGGCGCCCAATGGTTTGAAGACCGGTACCTTCGCTGCGTTTCCATAGGAGTTAATCCTTTTTCTTTTTTTTACCTTCTCCTCAGGTAAGTTCGCTCTTTGCGAATTTTATAGAAAAAAATGCAGCATTTGCGGCCAACGCTGTACAAAATCAGAACGCGATAGGTTGAGAAACCGAATTTTGCGGTCGATGTAAAGAGCCTGGTCGCTCCTTGAATCGGCATCGTCATTCGCTGAGCTGCCTCCGCAAGCTGCGGTGATTAGCTCTTCGAGTGTTGTGCGGGAAAGTAGACGCACGACCTTTTTGAAGAGTGTAGACCTGAAGTGGGTAGACCTCAAGCATTGAGGTCTACCCACTATCCTTTCAGTCAAAGTCATTCAGAACTCGGCGTCAATTTGACGTCCCCGCAGTACTGCGCGAGGAGCAAACGACTTGCTCTGCGCATCAATTCGCTCGCAAAAAAGTTAATTACTCAAAAAGTAATTCATCAACTAATTACACCCAAGGCTATTACCTTCGCAAATGGGCCGTTTGGCATGGGTCAATGCGACATAAACCTATTTTTCAGTGTGATGTGCCTTTTTCGCAGGAACGATTTGGCTCTAACACCTTGTTGGTGTTAGACTGGTGGCAGCTGATAAAACCCGTTTGCTCTACTGACGTCTAACCCCTGGTTAGCTCAGTTGGTAGAGTGCTCCACTTGTAATGGAGAGGTTCCGGGTTCGATACCCGGACCAGGCGGATTTTTTCGGTCGCTCACCAGTCACCTAGCTGTGTTTGGAGATTTATGTTTGTCCTTTGTCCCTCTTGTTCCCCTTCTCCAGGGATTATTTTCGTCATTCTTGTCCAGCTCGCTTGCACCTTTGCATTTAATTGCATTATAATGATTTGGCTCATATTTCGTGCAACACACTATACGGTCCCTGATAGCATATTCAAAAGCAGGGCGTGGCGTATTGTGATCACGCTTCCGTGATTGGTCCTTCGGGGTTCTCATCGGCTAATGCCGCACTCTCAGTGGCTGCGCAGCGATAATGAGATGCCCCGGAGTCGCCATGTCCTGCACGCTGTCACTGACTATGCGGAGAGCAAGTTCGTCTCTTCTTGAGAAGAGGTGGCGATGACGTCAGAATGATGCCGAACTCTTATTAGCTTTGATTGGACGGATAGTGGGTACACCTCAATTCTAGATGCCTCGAGATCTACCCACTATCTTTTTTTCCATCAGCCAATAAGAGCTGGACACTCTGACGTCATCGCTACTCCTGTCCAAGAAAGCAGACAAACTTGTGCTCCGCACAGTTACCTATAGGTATACGGCTTCTACAGGGTGTCACAAAAGAAAATTTACATGGTCTTTTTTACCGCAAAAGTAAACTAGGCATCGCCGAACGCTCATTCTCTGCCCAAAGGTAGAGCTAGAGGTCACAACCAGATGCCAACGTTTCAGCCCGATCCGATAACTTTATCAAAAGTTATAAGTGATTTTCTGAAACTTTCAATGGGAAAATGGAGCCCATTTTTGCCCGTTTTCGGTTTCTGGTGCCATAGAGCCCCATGTGTTTGAAAACGCCGTCCGCCGACATTTTCCCGTTGACATTTTCAGAAAATCATTTATAACTTTTGATTAACTCATCGGATCGGGCTGAAACTTTGGCATCTGGTTGTGACCTCACCTTGGGGCGGAGAATGAGCGTTCGGCGATGCCTAGTTTATTTTTGTGGTAAAAAAGATCGTGTAAATTCTCTTTTGTGACAACTACCAGGGCCGGTTTTCTCGAAGCGATGGTAAATAAAATGCATGCTTGGGTCATCTGCCTGAGCTAACACGTACCTGTGATTCTTGTTGGTGTTGACTGCGCCATGTTAGAGTTAAGAAAAAAAAATCATTTAATCAGAAAGCGTTACAAATCGTTCCGTATCGTCCGTGCTCGTGCGTCCCTATCCTCTTCGTCCTCCCTTCTTTTTCCCCCGCCTGTGATCGTGTCATCGACCACTTTTCTTTCTTTTCTTTTTCTTACTCGCACTGCGAACAGCCTTAATAGAAGTGACGTCAGCGGAAGGAAAGGATTCATTCTTATGACTGTAGACTTTGTTCCCAACTGATTACAAGCAGCTTTATGGTGTCAAATGAATGCTTTGGAACTCGCTCCAGCACCTGCGCAGCAGCACGAAACAAATGCTCGACATGCATGTCCATGTTTAGATGGCTCGCTCGAGCTTCAAGCGTGCCTTTCCCAGACGTCACGGCACTGAAAAGCGAGGGTATATTTGAATGTTGGTTTTGGCATCATTTTTTATTTCAAAATGACTACTTTGAATTTCGCGATACTAAATAGCATATCGGAAAGTGTAGAGGCCGGTGATTCTGAAAATTTGGTTAGTTTGGGTCGCTCAAAAAATTAAAGGGGATGTGCGAGGATATTCGCTTGAAAGGTTTTAAGGGGAAAGCATTAACTGTCTCATGGAGCGAAGCCGGCGTTGTCTGTAGCAGCGAAAAACGGCACCTAAATTCCTCTCAGTGAAACAGCACCTAAATTCCCTTTGGCTGCGATGCGTCACGTCGCTCCATTGTGGAGCTTTGCGTGTGCCACGGGCATCGACCGTCGTATGTGATCTCCCCCTCCCCCTCCCTCCCCACTCCCCCCTTTAGGCCTAAGAGCCAGCCCTTTCTAAATAAAGTATTTTCATTCATTCATCAACGGCATCATCGCTGCTAAGGAGCCAGCCGCTGGCCTGACGTTAGGCCTGAAGTTAGGCCTAACGTTAGGCCTCACGCTACGCTTTGAGGTCTAACGTCGTCAACCGGTACCCGCAGTTAGGGCGATGATGATAATGAGGAGAGGACACGGGATTTTCGCACGCGCCGCGCCAACCTTCTCACTCCCGCCTGTGCCTTACCCAGCGGCGCAACAGTCACCAGCGAGCCAGGGCGGTCTGCGCGGCGCACCGCTGCACTCCCTGCCGGCGCTGCGGCCGCTTCTGCTCCTTTCGGCCCCGAGGGACATGGCGGCACCCCTCGGCAGCAGTAAAACGTGGCCGTCCTCGCCAATAAACCGCCGACGACCTAAGGGAGCGGAAGAACGACATTAATGCTTTCGCATTCACAACCCATAAGTGCTTAGGTGTCCTCAGAATGCTTTCCTTTTTACACGAGCTTACTGGCATTAGTGCGAACCTCGTACACTCGCACGCAACTCCACTCACCGAAAAACTTCTTCGTTGCAATGTATTTCAAGGACAAAAGCAAGCATTTTCTTTCAATCTCTTCTTCGTAAAACTTGATGACGTAGCTGGGGAATCGCAGTACCTCCGAATGACGATATTTGAATGCGGCTCATAGATGGAGCCCGAGCATTGCGTGAGTAGTAAATTTGCACGTGATAATCAATAGCTCGACAAGCATTCGGGCAGTGGCCCGTGTCCAATCGCTGCAGTGACGACAATTGCCGAACCATAACAATCTACATTGATACGTGCGGGTCAAATGCTTGTGATATTTAAATTTACAAGACAAAAATACGCTAAAACTCACCCCCAACAGTTTTTTTAAAGAATTTATGAATGTCATTAGATGGAGAATAACACCTCCCCCCCCCCCCCCCCCCCCGCCCCCTTCCCCAACCCTTTCGGTCCCCTCCCATAAAGCCCCTTGACAAAGGTGTTTGTTTACAACTGCCGCCAATCCTTATTTTGGAAACACGCAAGGCACATGCCAAGAGCAGGTGCTTCGCCACCATTCACTTCCAAGGGCCGCTCAGTTAGGTGCTGCGCCGCCATTTGCTTCCAAGGGCCGCTCGGGACACGGGCCTCGTGCACTGGCGCATTTGACGCGTCTTGCAAGACAAACACATCGAGGGACCTTTAGCCTCTTGTCGTTTGTAGTGCCATCTAATTTTTCGCCTCGAAACGGTGTGTTTCCTAGACGCAGTGCGGACTGTACTTCAAAACATGGGTATTCAATCATGGCTTCCGAAACCGCGCGTCGTTTCTCGGGGGCCATGATTCCATACAATACATGCAGTTACCATAGCGGCCGGCTACGAAACGGTGGCGCGTCGAACGACGGGAGGCTATGCGGGAGGCTTGTCATGCCTGGAGAGGTGGGTACTGCTCGTGGAAGCAGTGTATGTTGGTTCCAAGTATATTATTTTTCAATCATCACGAATCATCGCAAATCATCACAAATTAAAGAAGATGCTGCCCGAATAAATGTAATTCGGAGTTCGGGACCAACCCGTGTATCAACTTATTAGGGAGTTTTCGTAGACCGTGTTTCTACCTCCGCTGAGCCATCCCCAACCAAGCCTCTACAGCTCCTGCGCGCCCATGGCCTTGACTGTAGAGTTCCGGATGTGGGCTGCGAAGAGCTTTGCGGGACAGTGAAAACGATCTACGAAAACTCCTTTTTTTGTCTTTGCCGTAATCTACGCAAACCGCACAAAAAGAAAAAAAAAAAAGTGCTGTACATTTAGTGTTTTCTTTTTTTTTTCGCGTTGTTATATTATGTATCCCATGGTTTCCTTCTTGGATTAATATACATTTTTGCCCATTCTTCTACAGATATGTCTAGGTGGCGAGTGTGTAGACACTCCACCGCAATACCTTCCAACGACAGACAAGAAAAAGCAGAGAAAAACCAAAAGCCCAAAGAAGTCTGGAAGCCTATGAGACATGTCCATTCTATTATCTTTATCTAAGATATAACAATTTACGATCGACATGAAAGACTAATTAATGTCTTGCCACCTGTCGTTCCGCTGCTTACGCAGGTTGCGGCAGCAGCTGATAAGAACGCCGAAGAACAAATCACGACACGAAAAGCGTCCTGCGTTTCTTAAACAGTCGTTGGGGAGTTTTAGTGAGTGGTTTCGATGCGAACGGTTCGCCCTCAACCGACTCGCCAGCACAACAGCGCGTTTGCGCGCAAATTGCACAGGAACTTGCGAGAACGGTTTGACCGAATCGTCCCGATTTGAGGCATGTCAACTATAATGTCGTTGTCACATCAAGAAAGGAGAAAAAAAAAAAAAAGGTAAGTTTTGCGCAGTATTTATGCGCTGCACCGTTCTGACAAGATTTGGCTGACGGAGGGAGAAACCGTAGGCTATTGTGAAATTTACCTACATATATCTTAATTCGCCATATATAGACCTTTTCACCCTCCGCCGCATGGGCGCTGCCATCTTGGAATCACGTGATGCGGCCGCCATTAGGTTGCTTCAACTTGTTGCTCCGCTCTCCCGTCCGCGCCTTGACGGATGCGTTGAATTCGTGTTTTTCGTCGCGCTTCACCGCGTCTCTTGCCTTACTCCGTAAAGTGTCGTTCGATACTTAAACTTACCATGCAATTGCATTACATCATTGTGCTCGCAACTTCTGTAGTTAATTTTGTAACACGTTTTGAATATTTTTTTACCGTCGGCGTGCGGGATACGTGTGAAAAGGCTTTATAGGAACAGGAATCAGCGTTAGCACTTACGCAGATTGACTACATATATGACTTGAAGAGAGCCTCGAGGGTTCAAATACCAATAACTTACGAGCACTGAGGTTTGGTTACTAATAAGGGCGGAACATTTGCAATAGGAAGCCTGATGTAATTATTATATATATGAGTGCGCATTGGTGTCAAGGGAGGACACAAAAACACTCAGCGTAATTAGCCACGTGTTTTTCCTGGAAGCATGGTGTTTTGTAGTTACAACAGATCGAAAACAGTTTCTTTTGATTACACTAGGGAACTTGTGAACAAGACGCGAGAACAAACGTTTAGTTGAAATTTGTTTGTTTTTTTATGCTACACCTATAAATAATGGTACCTTAACATTAGGCAACTTTTTGTTCGCAATATCACACCTATATCGGTTTTAGGTTCTTAATCGCGTGTGTGATATAAGCATTCGCTTTATCGGCATATCTATGAATTCCACGGAATAGCGTATCGTGCTTAGTCCCATGTCCATAGTCTTTCAGTTGCTTGAGTCATCTTTCAATATAACCATGCAGTTTGAATTAACTTATTTCAACACAAAGATTTGGACTCCCCGCGTAAGAAACTGTCACAGACAACTCGATAGCGCCTATGATTCACAAAATGTGACGCTGTAAAGAATCCTTCTATATGAAAATCACCTGAGTGCAGCCGGTTGTCGACGGCAAATAGGGAGTTACTTTCAGTAGCTGGCGACGTCAAAATGTGCAAAGCGCATTGTTTCAAATCAGTGAACAGCTTTCGACACAGGCCCATTGGGCGGCGCCTGGCGTTCGATTTCAGCCAAACTTATCGGAGATAATTTCTTTTTCGCTCTTCAATTCATTCGGCAAATTTTATGGAAGATGAATATCAGACTTTATTTGAAGTCTGGCATTCACTTATCCCACCATTCTCATACCTTGAGAACGTCGTAAGCAAATGTCCATATAAATGTCCATATAGTTTATTTCATAACGCCAATATTTTGAAATGCTGTTAATGAGTACTTTAGTTAAAGAAATTTCTAGTCAGCCTACGCTGGTCGATCAAAATATTTCTCGAGCGCTTAATTTCTTTAAATAATACAGGCAGGGACAATATCACTTTTTTATATTATCTACCTGATTATATAAAACTTTTCTAGTCATTATAAAAGAAGTTTCCAGTCTCGAAGTTAGAAAAGGTTGGTGTACGGAAACCAAACATCGAACTGTAAACTCGTCAGTTCATCTGTTTTTGGTGATTCAGCAGATTGTTAATCATGTTGTCGACCTGCTTTTTCACTAAGCACTGATGCAATATAGTCTGTTGCAATATAAGATGATCAGTTCAATATCTGACTTGAGCGCGAGCTATCTACCTTCCGTACCGCTCGGTGCACGCACAGCCAAGGCACGGCTGCAGGCAACGAGCGCACGCTGCAGGCGGAGCTTGTCCTGCTCTTTATTTTTTTTTTCTTCTGAAGACTAGTGTCCGTGGGTACGGCCGTGGACAATGGTGTTCCTCCCTGTGCATCAGTGCAGTTGTTTCACCGCCGAACCTGGCCGAAGTTAACGATGGACGGAATCAGACGCACATAGTGTTCGTAAAAAAAGATCGCAATTTAGGCTCGAAACCCCTTCGTGGCTTGCCAAGTGGCTCAACAGTATTGTTTCATTCGCTTTGTGCTACAAGAAAGACATTTATATCGCAAAATTAATCGAAAGTAACATGAAACAGCATCACAATCGCGTGCACGTTGAAACCGAAACCGACCAAATTGAAGCAACCTAATGGTGGCGAGTGCGCCAGCGCCCTCTACCCGCCGGTCAGGCAACTACTGAAATGAAAAGGTCTATAGGAGTAAATCAGTAATGCTCCATTAGAAGCCGGACTTCTTCTACTACAGTTCTTGAGGAAACGAGGAAAGAGAGCCTTGCAACGAGGGTGGTTAAAGGCCGACTACCAGACTCGAGATTCTGCAAGGCACAACATCCTCCTCACCATAGGGGAGGAGGAAACAGGCAACGGTGGACGGGGTACAAGGGGGGAAAGGAGGAAGCGATCGGAAAAGTGGAAAGCGCGAACTGGTCGTCGTCCTTTAAAGGGATACTACAACGAAATTTCGGCGCTCATGTTTTGGTCTGTATGTGTTCAAAGGAGCAGTATCACATCGAACGTACCAATATCTTGTTTAAAAGGTCTTGAAAAGGAATTTTAAAACGAATTAAACGATTAGCAAAGAGTACCTGGTGGATGCGCTAACGCCTCGCTTGTAATGCCCGTCTAAGAACCTTGACAGCTAGTGACGGTGAGTGTCTCGCCTCCGGTGACGACGAGAGAAGAGGGGAACGAGGAACTCCCTTCTTTCCGAGAACGCCTTTTGTGTGTCGCAGAAGTCGCTATTGTCCCCCTACAAGATTATACAAGATTAACCCGTCACTCCAAATTCGTACAAATTCGGTGGCTGGAACGAGTAGGCCATTCTCTCGACGTCAGCCTCGCCGTAGCTTTGCTCGTCCCGAGACGACCTACGTCACGATTGCGTTGGATGTCACGTGGTTTCCACTGGGCCTTCTCCGAGCGCTTGCCAGAGTGGGCCGTCTATAACGAAAAATACAGCCACCAGGCTCAAAATACAAACGTGCGATTGTCATTTACGGATATTGTGGATCATATTCAACCTATTTTTGAACACGACGGGAATATTTCAAATTTCGTTGAAGTATCCCTTTAAAGTATTACGAGCGGCACAACCTACTTCTCGAGGCGGCCCAAAGAAGAACCTAGGTATCGTTTCGATGCGAACGGTTCATCTACGAATGATGCGCCGACATCTCTGCGCATTCCGTCCTGGAAAAAGTTCGCTATCCTCCCATGCATTGGGCCTCCTCGAACCGTGAGAACATTGACCCCAGCATCGCGGACCAGAGGTTGCAAGTGGAGTATATCAATAAACGGAAATAACTAGTCAAATGTCCCGTTGAAGGTCATCACTTAGTCTTTTGTTGTTGTTTTCTTTGCTTGAGTTATACAACAAACCCCCACCGGCGGTATAAGCCTGTTGCACTTAAAAGCCCCTCTGTCCTGGGAAAAGTGACGCCATCCATTGTTGCGGAAATCCTCGAGATACGTGCCGCGCGCCACTTCTTGGAAGAACATGGCGTCTAAAATCTAGCTCCGTGTGCCGCCATGATCTTCCCAAGGGCTGCACGTTGTTGTGACTCGGGGCTTGTCCATGTAGTCGATCTCCGCTGGAGCCATGCGTCGCCCAGGACATCGGGCAGAGTTGGTAGCGAGCCAGGGTGTCTCTTCTCAAACTGTTTATTTACATTCTATGTACAGTTTGCCGTTCAGCATGAGAGCAACGTGAAAACACACCGAGAGCGCGTAAAACCGCTCTTTTTATAAGGTCCCCCCTTCCCTACGTCTCTGGGCCAGGACGCCGCTCCCCAACTGGTCAGGCCCCGCCCACTAGCACGCACAAGCACACAGTGTAGTAGCGGCCGGACATCACATCCCGGCGCCGAGTCACTCCCGCCCTCGAATGCCGCGCCGAGGAGGCGACAACAAAGGGTCCACTCTCAGCCTGGGAGACGACGCTGGCCGAGGTGGTGCCGATCTCTCCATTAGGCGGCTTTGTGACACGAAAAGGGTTGGGCCGGAACAACCGCAAGTGGCGTCCGAAGATGATCCGTGCTGAACACACCCTCACGGAGGTCCCGCAGCTGGCGCACCGTCATCCGGAATCTTCGCACAATAATCCCCGGTTCCTGCGTCGGGTGACCCAGTTTCGGGCCAGTGTAATCCCCGCCAGAAGTAAGGGTCCGGCCCAGCTTCGCGCCTAGGTGTGGCGGCATCAACACGGTGGTCCTCCGTCGAAAGCCATCCCTTTGTCGCCGCTCGCTTCGTTTCCGGGCTCAATCTCAACTGACCGGAACCATATGGCGACGATTCTCAAGGGGGTTCCCCAGTGCCGGGTGGTTTAGATCGAGAGGGTCTGGTCCGGGGGCCATTCATAACAACGTTCCACATGCCTCTTGCATCGACGGACCTTGCGCTACTTTTAAAACATGAAGGGGCTTCAGCTGTACTCGGCCAGGGGCGCGAGCGCGTCCACAATATACGACTATAGTAATGTTGGCTTCGGCATCTGCAATAGACCTATTGCTATAGGGAGTATTCACTGGCGGCCATATCCGTGTGCGCAACTGCT